CCACTGATTGTTTCTTTACCATTGTGATCTTTTTTAATGAGAAAATCGATTTTAATTAAAAATTAATTTACACACACCAAAAAATTTATATTTCTTTCCCTTTTTTTTTTAACACCAGTTTATGAATTTTTTCTCGATCTTGTTTTGTTCTTTTTATGCCAAATTCGATTAAAGAACACTTTTTCCACTAGGTTCTCCCCTTTTCTTTGGTTTAAAAGAAATTTAAGAAATCACATGGCCCGTCGGCTTATTATGTGTGCATCCAATACCCTGAACCGATCACAAAAATGTGCAAAGTATAACTAAATACAACGGCTCTCTTCCAACGACGACTCCACTGAGGCAGTATGTGGACACAAGGGCAAAAATGCATGTGTTGGGGGGGAATAGCAGAAGTCCAGTGAAAATATGTCAAACAGAAAACTAGGGTTTTTGTTAGGAGACAAAAAAAATGTAGCTCCTAACATCTAAGTTTCACCAGTCACCAGAATAACAGCAGACAGACAGCTATATGAAATCGTCCTCCGGCGATAGCAATAATTAAATAACCATAGTGCAAAAACGAATCCACTGTAGTAGGTTGTCCCAATCACTTTAGAACTTGATTTCTTGTGAAATTTTCAAGGAAGTAAATTTTTTTTTTCCCAAGAAAAAAAATTCAAGTTTCAAAATTTATACGCTTGAACTGATCAAAGATCTGAATCAAATGAGGTAGACATTTTTTAAGAGACCCCTTTTTGTAACCTTGGTAATCAATACTGGCTAAATTGCGGAATCACACACACAGGAAAAAAACTTCCAGACTGAAAAATGGCTACCTTTTAGTGCCATCTTGACACTCATACACATAAGTTCAAATCGCCTGATTTCGAACAACTACATAAAAAGAAAATACTAATATCAGCAAAAGAAAGTAGCGGGCAATTTCTTTACTGTGCTACTTACTTTATACCAGTTATCACAAATCTAACTCGCTGATCAAAAACTATCCAGACGTGTGGTTACAAATTTATGGCTATCAACCTTTAAAGGCAAAATATACAAAAATTATAATTGTTTATTTGGTTGTAAGTTAGGTTTTGTTGTATGCTTATAATGGCAAAAAATGCATAAAATAAACGAAATAAGTTAAAAAAACAAAAATAAATAAAAAAAACTTTGCTGACCATAGGAATTGAACCTGGGACCTCGCGGCTTCCAAGCCAGACAACTAGCTCTAGGCTATCACCAGCCCTTGAAATAGGTCGCTTAACTAGCCGTCATCTACCATCACGCCACCAATCACAAAATTCCAAAAAAAATAATTGTAGCATTACATATTGGAACATGTTACACGATGAATTGGGATCCACATAACAAAATCCACATGCCAAACATGGATTACACCAACAATCATGCTGTAACGTATCGATCAGGGAGAGTGGTTAGCTAACAGCGGTTTTTTTTTTTTTACTACAGTCAGAGGTGTCCAAGTTCATGATTGAGGGGTGCCAACAAAAGATTTACTTATAAGAAAACACAGTAGAAAACCATATGCTATCTACATGCGCCACTACAGTTGGTAACCAGAACTCAACCGCCGGCCATGGTGATGGAGTGGGCCGCTCTCCGCTCGTATTAATGGACCGTGGCATCAGAATAAATGCCGAATATTATCGCGAAAATATTCTGGAGGGTGTATTAAAGCCTTGGGCATGCAAACATTTTGGTCCTTGACCTTGGACATTCCAAACGGGTTCAGCACCATCGCACTCAGAACGCGCCACCCAAGAATAGTTACAAAATGACGTTCCTCGCTTCATTTCCAGCGCACAATGACCACCAAATTCTCCGGATACCAATCCGTTGGACTATTTTGTCTGGAGTATTTTGGAAAGCAAAGTTGGCACTGAAAAAAAAAAACATTTGCAACATTCGAGCCGTTTGAAGGTCATAATTTGTGCCAAAGGTGGCCAATTCGAAGAAATCTAAACTTGTTCTAAAATTTGATGCTATTTCCAACATTTTTTGCTTTCATTCAATAAAATTTAGAAAAAATCTAAAAATTATGGCGTTTGACTTTTTTGCAGTCTTTTTTATCTCACCCTGTATAACAGTATTGCGCCATATAACCATACCTCCCGTTATATGGCATTTTAATAATTTTTGTCACATTTTTCCACAGAATCTAAAAGTTCTAAATTTGGTATTGATAATACCTGTCGATATGCGCCATTTTGAAGATGTAATCCATGTTTTCTAACGAATTTTTCTGTTTATAGATCGTAATGGGTGCCAAGCTACGGTAGCAGAACATGTATATATATAGGTCCATACGCCCATATGGTGGTAACTGACGGTATTCGGTATTTTTACGATAAAACCCATCTTTTTATTGGGAATTGCTTCAAATTCGGCATGTGTAGTTCAAAATGGATTCTACAGCCGGTGCGAAAACATTATCCAAATTAGTCCAAGATTTTGATATAATGGTTCCCACCGATAATTGGTATTTTTATGATCCTAACCAAATTTTTCCACGGAGTTTTGGATTTGGTATTTATGACTCGCAATAGATGAGACTCCTTTTAGTATTAACTGTATTCTTCAACCGATCTCACTGGTATTTGCAGATTAAAGTGGAAGACTTTTGAATTTAGGTACCCTTATTTAAAAATATTGAAGTTCGACCCGACAGTACTTAATATTTTTTATTTGTTAATATTAACATGTTATGTAATTAGATGGGTGATTTCGTTGCTGTCATATTTCGGTATGTGGCGTTGGTAATATGAACAAATCTCATGTCATCACATCATAACATAGCATCATTTTATTCTCAAACAGAGCTGACTGATACCTTCAGACCTTTCCGCCACAAACGGCTAAAATTAAAAAAAAAAAAAAAAAAAAAAAAAAAAAATATGCCAAAAATATATTTACTACCCTCTTCTCATAATACTTATTGTTTGCTGCAAGAGGGTAGTTTTCTCATTGCGAATCCGTTCGTTGGGATATTGCACCTAGGACCTTTATAACACTAATAATAAGAATGATAAACTTCGTACAGCCTCTATTTTTTAGTAGATGGGAACAATATCCCCAGACAAAAACTAAGGGAATCGATGAGGATTGGTGGTTCTTTCCGAAACCTAGGTATTCCCTGCCTTAGCACTGGTGCACATTACCATATTTTTTCACAAATAAACAAACGTTGTTTTTATAAAAACAACAATAATAGGATAAAGCCTAACTATTTTGCAACAACAAAATACTATGGTATCCCGAACAAAGATGCCAACACTGATCTGTGGATGGTATGCAAATATATTATACGCGTGATTCACCACATGGGTGATATTCACAACGTATATCTCCCAAGAGTTGTTGTTGTTAAAAAAAAAAAAAAAAAACGAAGAATTCAATTTGTCGTATTTTAATATTTTTAGCGTATATCGAAAAGGATATATCTTAAGAAGGGTTTAACAATTTGTTTTGAGAAACTGCCTGTCCCTCCGCTCTAGTCCACTTTAAGGAAAGCTCGTTTCGTTGAAATACTAAATAATGGGTAGAAATTGTCTCTGTTGTACAGCATATCATTTCATTTTTTTAAATTTTGCTTTAAATAATTCTACGTAAATGATTCATGATTTATTTTCATGTTTTCTCTCATCCCTAGGTTTCAACGTCCGCTCTGCTTCTGAGAAGGGATGCCAGCATTTTGTATACATATTTCGTTTTCGTATTATTACGATGCAACGCTTAAAACTTATGGAATTTTAAATCACTGTTCTGGAATTGTGAGAATAACCGAAAATGCAAATTCAAACCTAAAATAGTTTATAGCGGAGATGTACGGAGCTTTGAAAGCGAACGCACTCTGCGGATTACCACCACTAAACGCAATGAAATTGTTTTGGCATTCCAAATGATGCAGAGTTTGGATTTCAGTGGCATTTGTTGTTCTTGTTGTAAGTGTGTGTGTTGTTTTGTTTTTTTGGGAAATTTGTTCAGTTATGGATTCAATTGTTTTGCATTTCAGCCATGAATGCTCAAACAGTTGAATGTATTCGGCTCCGCTGGCATTTATGAGTGGCGCCGTCGTATCATGTGCCACCAATAATGCCACCAACACTGCAAACATCCCGACATCCACGCAGCACTGGAATTTGTCCTGTGGTTGTGTTTTGTTATTTTTGTTTTTGTACAATGTTGAATAAACTTAACATTTGTTTCACCAGATATTTTGCTGTCGTTGTTGTTGTTGGATTCGTAGTTTTTCCAATGATTTCTTGCAATTTCACTTTGTGGCCGTTTGTATTTAGTGATAAATGTAGAGTTAGTCTGGACAGGCACTACAACAGCAGCAACAACAATGTTCCATGCGAACCGTAATACAACTGTTATTAGAGGACATTAAGCCACAAACACGTGCTGGAGGGGAAGAGCCAACTAGTCATGCTGAGAGCGAAGCGGAGAACGATGATTTAATGAGAGATTAAAAGGGATACCAACCAGACAGGACATAAATCTATGGCCGACTGGCCTCGGCCGACCGGCCAGTGAATTAGGTTGATAAATGAAACGCAGTTCTTTTTGTTGGTGGTTTAAATTTTCTATTTTTAGTTTTTATTTAAAAATATACACTTCCACACCATGCGACGGTGTGGAATTCGACGACCTTGTAACAAAGTTGGAAACACAATAATAAATGGGTCAAATTAATGCAAACCGAAGAATAGAATAAAACAAAACTATATAATTAAATCTCTTAACGATTAAACATAACTGTTTCTTTTCGCTCTCCATCGTCCTTTAAAGGCAAACAATACTTTTTTGTCGCAAGACAAACGTGGTTCCGTTTGCGACAGTTTCTTATTTCTGAAAAAAGTGAACTTAACTAGAGTACATACATACAGATATAGATGTTTCTTCTTTTTTTCACTAAAACGCTTACTTATAACAAGACTTTAATTAATTTAATGTATGTGGTTTACATTTTTCTTTTAATATTGTGTGTGTTTTTCTGGAGATTTGTATTTTATACTAAAAATGTTAATAAATGTTTGCTTGGTTTTTATTGGCCTCAATTAACTACATTACTAGAGTTTACTTTTTACAATCTTATTGAATACAATACATTTACAATGCAATCGATAATATTTACTTGGTGTACAGTCGACTGTTGATAGTTGCAATAATTTGCAGAATTTAACTAGAATTAACAAAGACGTAGAAGTGTTGATGGTAGATTTCGTAAATTGTTTCGCATTTGTCAAATTTAGTCTCGGTGAAGTTTAAGTGGTAGTGGTTACAGCTACGGAAGGTGATAATGAGTGAGGCAGTTTTCTTGCCATGAACATCCACACAAACTCATTACAATGTTTCTGATCAGGAACCTTTCGTCAGCAGCTAAACTACTCTGAAAAAATTATGAAATGTTGGATTTTTTGTGAGGTAACCGTGTCCAATTTCAGAGAAATATTCCACTGAACGGGATAACCACACAAAAAAATTCCACGGAGTCATAAATGACGTATACAGCTATCTGCTAACTTTTCCAGCAACTTCTTTCTGAGTGATTCCATGTTGACGAACCCACGGAAAAACTTGCAAGCAATCAATTGATTTATCATAAAAAAAAAAAATTTCCCGTCTTTAAAAGATGAAGTAGGGAAAGGTCAAAAGTCGGGCGGGAGCAACTATATGATACCCTACACTACCATGCATATTAAGCAGAGCTCCCGCAACAAGAAAAGTTTATAATGGGAATTTATGTAGAATTTAGTAAAACATACCAACTATGAACCTTATTTGAATGCGAATCATGGCTTTAGGGTAGTCACAATTTTAGAACTATATCCAACTCCGAATTGATTTTTAACAAATTTGACAGAGGCCTTTGTACCTCTAGTACCTAATAAAATTGTTTATTTTGCATGATATGACTTCGCTAAAGATTATATAAAAAATATTTATTGGGGCAATAGATATACCGGACAGAGACTCACCAAGTGGAAAGGTTCGGTTGAGTATGAAGAAATTTATCCAATTTGGGCTGATATTACATATATGGTGAACAATAACCGTAAAATCGGATGTAAATATATATCGAAGCTATATAAAAATCTGAACCGATATTAATAGTTCCCCATATAAAAATAAATAAAAAAGCTGTAAGCTCGGCAGGGCCGATCTTTGAATACCCTTCAGCATTTGGAAAGATTTTGGCAATTTTCAAAAAAAATAAAATCGGTTAAAAATTCTGTTGAAATCTTAAAAATACCGAATGTAGCCATTGTATTAAGGTCTATACGACGACGTGGACCTGCATAGGTAACTTTTGTCATAAACCATTACAATATTCAAACCCGAGACTTGAATAAAAAAAATCGGTGAATAATGTAGCTGAAACCATCAAAATACCGAATATAGGGAGGTAACGTACGTGGACCTACATGATCCAATTTCAATACCAAAAGTCCTGCAGATATAATACACTTTTGCAGATATAATACTCAATTTCGTTCGGAAGTTAGAGGGATGTCCACAGACGGATGGACATCGCATAGAATTTTATGCTGATCAAGTATATATTTATATATATACTTTGTGGGGTCTAAAATGTATATTTCGTGGCATTACAAACGGATTTACAAACATAATATAGCCTCAATACTATGATGGAGGGTATAAAATTTAAATACACTTTGCATAACAACTATTTTTATTTGGAGTCGGAGGAAAGCTTTTTTTCGATGTCAACTCAATTTTTCGCAACCGACTGATTTTTATTTCTCTTTAGTATATAAAACTATATCTTCAATGTTTGGCATTGCAAAAGGCCCAAACGCGCGAACCACATCCAGGTGCAACTTTTAACCACTTCTGCTTTAATTTGACATTTTTAAACAAAGAAGTAGTATTTGAAACTCGTCTAAACGAACTTATCGTTGCAGCCATATATGCAGCATTAAACGCTTTAAAATATTTACAAAGTTTGAGAATGTGATGTTACTATTCAATGGCTATAAGGATCCCAAAGGATCGAAGCACAACGTCTAGTACAAAAAAAACAGAAATTTACCCGGTATCGGCAGACATTCTCTTGTGACTGCAATAATCAGGCCAGATTTATTCATTCGTAAAAGCAACTCACATTTTTTATTGAACAAGTGTAAGGATCCGCCTTTCCTCCTTTCAAATAAGTACACTTATCCTTATACATGTACACCTGTGTGTACATATGAATGCATGAATTGCAATTTGTAAACAAACTTGTTTGAGACCTTTTGCTTTGTTTGTAATTCCGAATTTTTTGCAAATTGTAAATATTGATCTAATTGAGGCAACGATTAGCCATATGATGTGATTACCGGCTATTTACATAAACCAATAATAATTTACTCATCGATTCGGAAAACCAAGCTTTCCTTTGCCATCAACATATATACATGTCTAAATATTAGTTAGCCAATCCGATGGACATGCATCAGCATGTTTGTTTGCATGCAGATCTTGAAAAAACATTTCAGTTTTGAAATTTGAAAAGAAAAACAATTTGAGTTCTTTGTCGAAAAAAATGTAAATAAAGCAACCCAACAATTTACTGATTACTAAGTAACTCGACCCCCAGCCCAGTTCCAGTTGATTGGTATGCAATTAACATGACCTAAATGACCTACACCGCCGCTCGGCCGGTCAGTCAGTCAAACGTTCATTCGTTTATAAATTGTTCTGAATGACATGTCATTTATCAATTGTTGATTTTTGTGACGATGACAGGCTTGGGGCAAATATTTGATTAAAATGACGCCCTCTGAAAAATTACGCATTCAGTGAACGTGGGTGGGTGTGTGTGTGATTACCAATGGTCTGTTGATCTATGCCGTGAAGGGACAGTTTTTATAGAAATTTTGGTTTTAATTAAATGAGATTTATTCATTTGTGAAGGAAAACATATTTCGTTCAGAGTCGGAAACCTGTTTGGAATTCATTAATTTGCATTCATTAATTTGCATCATGCCGAATATGAAGGGAAGAGAAAAAATAAATTTTTTATTGACCACACATTACATCTACCTTTGCATACTTTTAGGCTGGTCAGTGAATTTTAGATTATGCGGAACAATGAAAACCAATTGAGAGAAGTACACTGGAAAGTGGTAAATTTATTTTCATTTTTCGAATGGTGTCATAACTTGGGTGTAACAGAATCTCTTTTCTGTACAATACTCGTTTATACGAATGTATGTGTGTAATGGAAGGAGCAAATGCCTTTGGTTGCATTCTTCACGTTGAATCAATTTACTTAATACTTTATTGTCCAGCGTATGTGACGCATGGAAGAGTTTATACATTCAATTCAACACGTTATATTCTTTTCAACAAAAAAAAGGACATATGACGTTCTATTTGTAATTGTTGAAGTTAAGTGGATTTCGGAGACCATGTCGAAATATATTAACTTCCATTGATACAGTCTTACGTAAACATTGCCTCATTTAATAACACTGTGCTACAAAATGAAAAAGAGAGCAATTTAAGCCCATTAATACAACAGTTAATGCATATCAATAGAAGGTAGTGTTCCATATTTTTTATTGAATGCAAAATTGAATTGACCGTCCATTCTCAATTTGTCATTCCCATATTTTTTATTTTTCGAATACACTTTCAATTCGACTGCAATTTTAATGTTTTATGTAGCACGGTGTAATTTACATTTGATGCGATTCCACCGTTTTACGATATCCTTTATTTGGCCTTTTAAAATGCCGCCCGTTTTAATCCTCTCATGAAAAGTACTCAAAAGAAATTTCCAGCGATCAAAAATCTTCAATCTTTTCAGTAAACTTCGGCATATTTGCAGATGTTAAAGAATGACAATGTTTGGCTTTACTTTAGCGCGAGATATGGAAATGAATTCTTTGCTTTTATTTGTCCAATTCCTTTTTTAAATGGATGAGCGTGTGAGCGTGTTCGTGTTCATCCTGGCAAAGGGAAACATCTGCTGCCGTGTCTGTTATTGCACATAATTTTCATGTACACAAGCACAAGCGCACGCACAGTCACATATCTACAAATATGGACGCATGCATATGCATGTGTGTTTGTGTGTGTGAGTGTATGCATGGACATATAAAACATGGTCGACCGTACACGGATGTCAGAAACGACAATGACATTGTCGTCATCGTTTCCTCTCCGGTTGTTGTCAATGTGATTCAGACTAACTGCGATGGGCATTCGACTACAAAGGAATAATGTTGGCCACGTTGTCCTTGTCGAAAACATGATGGAGCACGCACAACCGGTCAAACACGATGTTGTAGTAACAATCAATGATTCCTTGTTCGGACCATTAGTTTAGCGGGTCATTTATAACGTAAACAGACTCGCTTTCCGACAGTGTCCGATCGAAATATTATAGATGTTTACGGGTTCGCATGGATACAAAAACTACCCCAAATCTGCAAAGAATATATCCCAACCTCGTCCGGTAGAAAACATTAGCGAAATTTCAGACATTTTAATTATAATATTAGTTCCATAGATTGTTTGGATTATGTTCAATCATATTGGGTCTAATATTGGTTTCACACAGTGAAGGTTCCGCTAAAAGCATGTTCTTGAGAGTTAGACAGAGACAAAAAGCGATTAAAAATATGAAAATTTTAAAAAATTATTATCATAGCTTGGATGTCAGACAAAATAATCAGACGTTCTCCTATTTGACTCATCTAGTCTAGTAGCGGATCATCCCAGTAAATTGTTACAATTCATTTTCCCGTACTAGTTTCAAAGGAAAAAAAAATAGAAAAAGAGGGAACTACTTACAAAGAAAGCAAGAGAGTCGAAACTGCAAAATATGTGACAAATATATCGCATTTTTTTACTCCGCCAAATCCGCCTACAAGCAAGGGAAATTGAAAACAAGGGTGCACATTCTGGAACAGAGCTTTATCTTCATCTTTTTCATCATCAACATCGCTACACTAGTAGCAAATTATTGCATATCGCAATACAAGCAAACAATTGCTTTGACTCTGCCGGAAAATCGATTAAATAATTAGCTTATCTTCGATTCAATTTCCGCTCGGATCTAATCCAATTCTTTAATCACTCTCTTATATGAATGTAGTGATGCTGTATGGGAAGCTGTATGCGTCTGCCCTGGCACATCCATAATGAATGACACTGTTTTCATCAACATGCACCAAAAGTGAAAATTGATGAATGCTCTCGTCACATGGACAAACACACATACACACACACACGCACGCACAACATCAACACTCTCGCATCACAGACATGCATGCAAACATTCCTTCTAAAACCAGGACATGTTGCGTTGTTACATGAACAAAAAACAAAATACATATAGACGACATTGGTTTACTGCTGGCCAGTGAAAGAGAAAGTAGCGGCAGGGCCCCTGTTTGGCAGCATCCAAATATGACATATGATGGCGATCGAGGCGTTTTTACTGGCGAAGTTGTAAATCAGCACCGCCGCCACCATCAGCGTGTCGTTGTATTTCTGGCTATATATCATGCGGTGAGGCGTATTGTGTTTGTAGCATGTTTTGCTCTGGTTTGGGAATACCACAAAAATGGAACCACGCACAAGGGGAGGACAATAAACAACGCAACGGAAGAGAAACATGACCAAACAAGCATGTAACGCTCGCAACCCTCCTCCGCAACATGAATTCTTTTCAAAGGTCATGTTGCCTATAATTACTGTGTAAACGTAGACCGTACTAGAGAGAGTGGGGGGAGGGGAGGGGAGGGGAGGGTAGGAGTAACGAGACGATTTAACTACTCTCTAAAATCTACTCTAATTGAGTTTGGTGTGGATATTCGTTACTTGACCATCAGACATGGCCGGTGGAATTGCGTCACTGTCCGAAACTCTTTGGGCACACTTCCATGAGCTGTCAATGACACTTTCGAAATTTTATTAACAAATGAATCGACTGTGATTAACTAAATAAAGTTGCACGTCATGCTCAACAAAACATCCGATTGACGAACGCACTGGGGCTCCTCGATGACTGACAAGTCTGGACTTTGCCAACTCATTTGTCGTTCGTTTCAGAAGAGACGTCAACGAAACGATAACGGTCGGAGGTATAATGTAATATTCTGTACAATGTTGCCGGGTGGAGCGGGGACTGCTGGGCTGGGATTTCCTTAATTGTCAATGGGATGTCATAATTATAACATCCGGAGCCGAGTTTCTAATGTCGATGAATAGCTTTGACTCATCGAGTTTGGTCTGCTTGTTCTTGGCACTGCCAGCTAGACCGACGGCTGCGGCGGGGTCTCGGACCCGGGCAGCACTGGATCCTGTTGATATGGCTGTAACAATCGTTGTGCCAGTTGATGGCACAGTCGTTATGTGAGCTCCCGTCGACGAGGGGGGATGGTGATGTTGGTGTTGGTCTTGCAAATGTTGATGCTGATGACGAGGCAATGTTTGCTTTTGCAGTTGTTGTTGTTGCTGTTGCTGTTGCTGCTGGTGTTGGTGATGATGGTGACAAATTTCCTGCGAAGGCCGATGATGTAAATGACGATGTTGTTGCTGCTGCTGCTGTTGTTGTTGCGGCTGCACCATAGTCATGTGCTCCTGATTTTGCGGGTGGTCCGTTTCAATGGATCCTTGCGGCAGGTGAATATTGCGTCTGGATAGAGTGGAAGTGGTACCGAATGTGGGCTGTTGTGCCGTCATCTGAGCTGCATCATAGCCAAACGTTGAGAATCGAGGTGGTGGTGGTACCCCTTCAACGCTTCGGTGGCCACCGACAAGGGATGGCGTCTTTGATTTGGAACGCAGCAATGAGGCGGTGGCAAAGAGTGATTCCCTGCAAAATAGAAACATGGAAGAGTTGTTAAGGCACATCGTTTAATTTAACTTTTATTTGAATTTCAAATGGAGGTACTCCAAAAGATATTTCAAATAATGCCAATCACATTACACAATGACAATGACAGTAGATAGTCGATTCAACGAATCGAAAGGGGGATATGAAGGATTAACTTTTTTAAAATAATATTTAATTTACAAATGGAGCGAACTTTTATAATAGCTCTAAGAGAACTACTACGCCCTCTGAGACAACTACGGAGTGGACAAATAGTAAACAAGACTTATCGGCAATTTAAATGAACATATGGTTTTGTCTGCAGATATGTACCGTCAATATTTGGCCGATTATGAATGTATGTTGGAAGGCGGCAATTATATTGCGCCTTTTCCTTGCTCCTAGCAATTGATTGATAATAGCCAGATAAAAGCAACGATTTTGGCAGATACATTCGTTCGTCAATAGAGAAAAAAGTTAGAACTCTTTGTTTGTAAGTTTGAAGGTCTAAAATTAATATGTCGATGAGTTACAATCGGACTGACGAACTCAATATACCCTCCACGCTATGTGTGGTGGAGGGTATAAAAAACAAATATGTGTTGCAATCAAATGATAAGTTTTACTCTGTAAATATTTCATAATCCGCTTCATTTATATAGTGAATCTAAATTATATGTATGTATAGGGTGAGATAAAAAAATCTGCAACAAAGTCAAACTACATTTTTTTTAAATTTTATTAAAAGAAACAAAAATATCGGAAACAGCATCAAATTTTGGAATAAGTTTAGATTTGTTGGAATTGGTAACCTTTGACACGAATTATGGCCTTCAAACGGTCAATGAAACCGTCACACGCAGCCCGAATGTAGCTCGGCGGTATTTTGCCCCATTCCCGGCGAAACGCTTGCTTGAGGTGATCGACACTTTGGTATTTTTTAGTTCCAACCTTGCTTTCCAAAATACTACAGACACAATAGTCCAACGGCTTGGTATCTGTAGATTTTGGTGGCCATTGTGCGCTGGCATGAAGCGAGGAACCTAATTTTGTGAGCGAGGAACTTAATTTTTTGAGTCCTGTTGGAATGTCCAAGATTTGTGGCCAAAACGTGCCCAAGGCTTTAATACACCCCTGCGACGCGGGTTTCGATCAAGTCGCTTCTTTACTTTTCGAATCATTTCTGCTGATGTTGCTGTTTTCTTCCGTCCACTTACTTGATATCGGGCTACGCTACCAGTATCACGGTGACAAGATGTATTCACAACAAAAGATGTATTCACATTTAAATGCTAGAATGCTCTAACGACAGCCGCTTGACAGCCACGTGACTTTTCAGCCAAATATAAAGAAATCACACTATCACGCTTGAATTCCATCACGAATAACTTTTTTTCTGGAAAATTCTCACCAAAATGCTTTTGTACGCTTGTAAACAATATAGTGAGCTGTCACTGGAATGAGTTTAACAGCTGTCGGAAGAGTGGCTTAGAAATGACAGCTGTCTGAAGTTGGTTGCAGTTTTTTCATCTCACCATGTATGTACAAAACACGATGATGTTCTTACAGAGTATTTTCAAAGAGTTTTCCAAGATGGTTTGATAAAATTAACGTACAACTAATTATGTGTAGCTGTACCTCTGCCTACCCATATATTCTTGCAATGAGATTAAATTACATTTCATTTTTTACCCAGAGTTAGTTTTCGTTACAAGAAATAACACCGAATTTGGCCTGCCCATTTGATGTGCTAAACGTCTATCTAATTATTTCTACCCGATTTCAGATTTATGCTGTAGAAAATTAGATAGTTTAGTTGGAGCTATACCGAGGGACTCTTATTCATATGTTTTCGCCAATTTCGAATTTTACTTTCACTAGGACCTCCTTTTTGCATTATCGTAACATAATTCCGGACTCAGATGTTTGTTTAAAAAGTGAAATGCATTTCCACTAGTCCTCGGTCGAACTTCAATTTTCGGATATTCATTAAAGCCACCGACTACTGTATGCAAGTAGTGAGGCAGAGCTAAAGTGAATATTCCGATCGATGCCAATTCATTGTCATTGCAGCGAACATTGCAAAATAGTTTTTCGGTTGCCATAAAATTTTATCGCGGCAAATGCAGGAAACTCACCTCGTTTGACAGCCCATGTCACATGCATTCGGTTGTGGAACTGCTGCAGGTCCTGGCGGCGGCTGTTCTGCTGCCGTTGTTGTCGACGAATCGTCGGTGCTGCAGAGACTAGTTTGAACAATCATGTCGTGCCGTCGTATTAGGTTGGGCGGCTCCTTCTCTTTGAAATTGCCCTTGGTCTGTAGTTCAATTTCCCGATAATAGCGGTTGGAAACATCATCGAGTATCTGCAGCGAAGTCTGTGAATGTTTTTGTCTGAAAAGAAACAGAGGTTTGATGCATCAGCAACATTAACCATTTTAGCGGAATGAAGATATAAATGCGGGTGGGCCAGCGGTGGGACTTACCTGGGCGACACAATGGATATGTTGTCACGAGACCGAGCCTTTGAATTGCGTCCCATTTCGTCTAGCTTGCTTTCCTTCGACTGTCGAATGTGTTCCTGGAAAAGAGGCAACAAAGTTCGTGATTAATCATTAGAAGTGGCAGGTGGACCAACAAATATGTAGGAATACTGAGTTCTTGGAATTTTGAAATGTATTGTCTGATTGCCTTGTTTCACTCCCTACAACATACTTGTTGGTTCGTTGGTTTACTTCTTTCTTTATATGTTGCGGCATTATATTTTTGCATTGTTCGACATGACAACATATTCGAGAAAAGTCGAGTTAATATCTGTCCTTCTTGGTAGGCATGAGCGTTTTTCTTTGAAATTTTCTTGATTTGATTGTGTTAAATCCGATTAAACATCCGATTAAAATGACATGAATGGTGTCTGCCGATGGTGGTAAAGCCGATGTCAAAAGGAAGCAGAATGCCATTAAAAGAGATAATTAAATTTCATTTTACTTTTTTCTTCGGTTCTTTAATTTCCGTCTTTACTTTCTCTTTCTCTGTATCTACGCACCAAACCAACCAATGACACTGACTTGTAGCGAATGTGGAGAAGCGAATATATAGCAACAGGGGGGAGGGGTGGATGGATAAACCAATCGCTATAATGAGCAAAGGATGCCAATTGAAACTGGGGGAGTTGGCAATTTAAACAAATCAAACAAACCAAAGAAGCCGAACGAAACCAATTTGCCACCAAATCAACGTTCAAAGAAATCTACGAAAAAAAAAAACAAAACTAAAGAAAGAAACTCGCTTCGATTACAAGTATTTACACTCACAACGCAAATAAGTCGGAAAAAGAAAGACAAAGCAAATTCCCAAAACAAACGGAAACCGGAAATGATGATGGCTGTAACTAAGAACCGATGTCGCACAACCAAGGAAAACAAAAAGAAATGTAAACATAATTCTGTGTGGCTGGATGAGCATAATGAGACTACAGTTTTGTGTGCATCTGTCTCCGTCCAGATTGAGATTGAACCTTCAAACCGCCGCCAGGCTTGCACTGCGTCTCGAGTGGATCATCAGCGTCCGCAGCAGCTTATCGATCTTGTTGTTGTTGTTGTGGTTATTGAATGTAGCATTTGTTTCAGATGCACTAACAATGACTGTGATTGATTTGTTCGCTGTCAGGCATGACTGCAGTGACGCTGGACAATAGATTGTACCGAAAGAAGCACATTTTGCGCTCAAGTTCACGCTTCATTTCGTAATTGATTCGTTAAAGTTTTTCGAAATATTAGAAGCGAGGGGATATTAGCTGGAAGTATGAACTACACTTTAAGATGAACTTGGATTGTGGTACTCAATTCGCAGCAATATTGTGAGAAGACCTATGCTATGATGACTACTTGAATGTTGGACTTTCTTTTTCATTGCAAATTTTCCATCATTAAACTTTGCTAGATACAAATTACGTATGTTCGCTTATTAATTCAACCGTATGTGTACTAGACCGAATTTAATGGGGTTCTGAAATAACGTGGGTCTGCAGGGATATTAGCAAAAAGTGAAGTATACTAAGAGCATTTCAAACTAATGGATTTTTTACCAGTAGCTGTATTTCTGTACTTTTTACAAGTAGCTACTCAACAAAATTTTTTTGAGAATATCTGTTGTTCTCGATGAGGAAAGTTGTGTTTTTCTACCCTTATAGTATATAGGCCATTTGTACCTCATTGAAATAACACCCTATGTCTTTTGCGACGAAATCTATTTCAGGACATTTGAAATCGATTTTGTGGTGCCTGTACGTATGTTTGCGTGTCTTACTGGCTGGTGAGCATGATAACTCCGATTGGGTCCAAACTTGGGGCATCGTAATATCTTTACATAAGCTTCATCCACAAAGGGTGAACAATCATAAATTTTATAAAATGTGAACAAAGAGTCAGATTGAAAATTCGCATATATCATATGTCTACTAACACAAAATCTGGTTTGAATATGTGATGCAGCAGACCACCTCCTCTGATGACTTTCCCATAAAGAGGAAGTTTCGTACAACATTGTACTTCCACAAGCAGTAGGTCTTATGGCAACTTCTTCGGGTGCCACACACACAAAGGGTCAGTATTGTATCTCAATATTTCAATCAAACTTAGATTTTATGCAAATATGGGATATGTCGGTTCACTCCTTCTGGTATCTCCCCTACAAAAGATCAAACTTTTAATTAGTTATTATTTTCAAAATACTGGTGGAAAATTTGGCTATTTTCAATGAGTTTTCAAAAATAATATTCTCTATGCCTATGTGACCTTATATTCGGCTGTGTATAACTTCAAACATTCGCTATTTAGAGAGCATTTATTCGATTTGAAAAAAGTGGTTTATGGTTATGGTTTATGTCTGGAGGTAACACGAAGATGAGCTTCGCATTAAGATACAAAAATTAAAAAAAGCTACTCCGGTTAGGAATCCCTTCGAAATATCGGTTGGTATGAACATTTGTTCCACGACACCAAATGCGATTAATAAAAAAAATTATGATACAGTTCTTCTAAAATATTTGAATCCAATTGCTGGGTAAAATTTGCAATGATTTTAAGGATTTGTAAAACGAAATAATTAGTTTTACCTCCGAAACTGCTTATTTCGCAATGTAACATCTGTTGGATTTCTAATCATCCGAGACCTCCGAAGTCCACTCGGTAATATTTGAATGAAATTATCCTTAAATTAAACATATACTATATTTGCTTAGTTATTTCCGATATGTATAATTCTAGACCTAAAGTGAAACCTCAAAATAGGATGTGCTTTCGGTACAACCTAATGTGTGCGTGTTCATGGGTTATTTAGTATTTGATTTTGATTTTGCTTTTGTTTTTTCTTTTTGTTTATTTGGTTTTTCTTCTTCTTTGTCTACTTCTTGCGGATTGCAGTATCATCTCTGCGATATGCCTTGCTTCATGTGCCCAACTCAAATGATTCGGTTACTTGTTTTTGTTGCTGTTGCTTCTGCTGCAGCTTCATTCTCAAAAGGACGATATGATAATGTGAATATTTTTCATTCTGCGGTGCAATGAGGACACGACCATCGCCGTCATGGGGCACATTTGTGTAAAACTTTGATTAGATACACGAGCGAACCGAGTCGGGGTAGATGGCCAGAGACAAGGCGGTAGCAGTTGGCCGATAGTTCATTTCCTCCGATGCAGGGTCTTGCGGTGATGGCGAACTGATGTCGCTGCTGCCCCCCGACGAGGGCGAAGATATTATCGCGTGACCAGAATGTAGGTTGCAATGCGACGTAATTAGTTTCTGTGGCACTTGGGGCACAAGGATAAATTCGTCGTTGTCGAAGTGAATAACGCCATCATGGCTGCCGGTATGGGGGCCGGTTAAGGTGTCGTCGCCCGGATAAGCAGAACAACAATTAATTGAATTTGCATCCACTTGCGATGTCTCGGAGTACGAGTGGCCTTCCAGGGCGCTCGAGATGGAACTGAGGTCATCATCCATCATATCGATGGCCATTATATTTTCATGACCACTGTGACGGTCAGGGCTGTATCGCAGCTTATAATCGTCCTGCAAACCCACAAATATGGCGGATTTCGGAGCGTCCAAGACAAACGAGTCAATATGATAAATGCCATCGCTTAGCACCGGAACATCCTGCGGATAGAATACATAAAGACAACAAGAAAAAAGAAACAGGAACAACAAAAAACCGAAAAAGACAAACACAAATGAAACGGAAGATGAAACGAAACGACAGAAGGCACGAGTGCCACACTTCTGTCCGTCCTACGAACTAAACAAAAAAACACGCACACATACACAACAAAAAGGCCAACGCACAAAGAAAGTAAGACAGTGTGCGTCCTCGTTGCTGGGGATCGGGGAAGAGAAGTGGTTGGAGTGGGAGGATACGCACACAGATATAGGTGTCGGTGCTGATGAGTTTGCGGTTCGAAAGCGTGCCTTATAACGCACAGACAACAAAACTTTGTATGAATGGAAACTGTTTTGAGGTTTCGACAGAAGAAGAGTATAATTCTTTTTCTGCCTTCATAATATTTATTACTGTTATTATTATTATTTTTATTATTTTAAACATGAGATGATGGTACAGAGTGTAAGTGATGAGAGTGTTAATAAATACTTGCAATCTATTCAACTACGATTCTACAGACACACATTTCTCATGCCGACAACTGACTACAATTGGCACAACTACTGACGATGACGTCATGAGCAAATTCAATTAGTGAGCATCATTTTCCGAATATTACTGTTGGTACACTGTAACATATCTGGACAGATTTTTTTCACAGATAAATTTTATTTTTTGTTCTTTCCATACGAGTTTGAATCAATTGGTAATAATTTCAGATTTGTATAACAATGTCATATAGTTTTTTTTATTTCTGCAGAAACGCAAACTTTCGTATGTTTATTCGCATTATTTCTCTTGGTATTAACATTTGGAAATTGTGGGAAAACCGAAGCCTAAAAGTAGAATCCCCTTTAAACACATACTAAGAGAAATGGTCAAACTTTCCACAATTTAGAACTTTAGTTTTAGTCTTTTTATTTAATAAAACAAATATATTGGTACTTATTTCAGTACTAAATTTTTCATTTTATTATTTTATTTTTATTTTATCATTGAATAGAAACTTAGTGCATTTTTCACACAATATTAATGATACGTCTTTGTATCCATTATTTATAATCATGAAAATGCTATTTACGACTTGAGAGTTCTAGATCCTGGAAATTCGCTGAAAGCAATGGCACAATACGCATATCAGGTATTTTGTAACTTTTAGCTACTAATTTTTTTGACACATTCGATAACTAGCCACAACCGTTTACTTTATTCCTGGAAACAATATTTTATATCTTTCATTAGTTTTTATATTATTTGGTATAGAAATTCGTTTCCTACAACAATTTGCTCTTAGTACGCCATATCGAATGGAGAGTTTTGTATTTTTCTTGAATTGCATGGAAATAGTACAATTTTTTTTTTTGCAGGGTATCTTATATACAAAGTATTAAAACTAACTTGAGTATATATACGGAATGGTA